GTTGGTTGGCTATGTTTTGACTTTGATATTCGAATATCTGAGCATATTTAGTACGGAAAGTTTTATGAGTTTCCATAGGTCCCAATATTCATAGGACTCAAAATAATTTTAAAAAAATCGGTCGCATAAGTCCAAAAATTTAGCTTATCTTGAGCCAACGAAATTTTGGATTGATTTTTTGCCGTTCAAGCAGCATAAATTCAAGCTGTACTAGTAGTAGTAGTAGTAGTATAAGACTTTAATTGTTTAAAAACAATCTGGGTGAAGTTAAAAATAAAAAGTTAAAAATCAGTCAGTGTTTTTTTTTTTTTCTAAAAAATAGTCTTTTAACTTAGCCTTGAAAATACTTGGTGTGTCAAATAGGCTGATATCGCTGTTGGAATGGAGTTTGTTCGAGCTCTTTACAACCCTGTTGAAAAACCACTGGCCATAGCACGCTCGTCGACTGCTCGAAACCAGGAAAACCGGTTTTTCTGAACTACGTAAGTTGTACCTCATGTCATATCTAAGAGTAACATAGTTCCATATCAAAACATCCTGTTTTCCAGCTAAGAGAGCATTGAAGAAAATAAGGTCCAGGTACTCCAGGTACACATCAATGGGCATCAGTTTACACTTTGTTAGTCTTTCTCTGTAAGTGCCAGTTGTGACCCATTTTGAGACACGAGACACCAGAACATCCATGCTTCTCAACTCTGTTTGACTAGGATACCATATCGGAGAGCAGTAACACAAGGAGGACAGAATATAAGCTTTAACCAGTCGAGTTTTAGTTGATATTGGAGTAGCAAATGGAATCGTTCGTTTGATAGAGAAGAATATGCTATAGCATGTCTTGATTTTCCAACTAATATGGGATCTCCAGTTTAAGTTTTTCGATATTTTCACACCCAAGTCTTTCACATCACAGCTGTCAGAAATGATATTCTCGCCCAGTGTTAGATGATACGGGCTTGGTAAAATATGTTTGTTAGCAAAGTGAATTAAAACGGTTTTATCAGTATTGAAGGTCATACCGTTTGAATTTGCCCACTCAACGCATCGATCGAGGTCCCGCTGTAGATCTTCTATGCTAGAGGATCTGCTTTTGCTGTCGTCCGCGAACAGATACATACAAGACGTAAAACAACTATCTGGTAAATCGTTGATAAAAATTATGAACAAGAGGGGACCAATAATCGATCCTTGTGGTACCCCGCTTAGAACATCGATAAAAAAGGAATAACGGCCGTCTATTTTTACGCATTGCTTTCGATCTGTGAGGTAAGATGCCAAAAGAAGTAAAAGTTCCCCACCGATGCCAAAATTACGTAGTTTCTGTAAAAGGATGTGATGCGGTACTTTGTCAAACGCTTTAGAGAAATCCAGATATACGGCGAAAACTTGATCATTGGTATCAAGTGCTTTGACAATATCATGCAAATAGAGTAAAAGTTGTACCTGGCAGGATCTTTTTCTTATGAAACCGAATTGATATCGCGATAGACGTTCAGCCACGAAAGGATAGAGTTTGTTATAAAGAACCCGCTCGAAAACCAAAGATAGTTTAGAAAGAATACTGATAGGTCTATAGCATTTTATGTCACATTTGTCACCTGATTTGAATATTGGAGTAATATAAGAGTTTTTCCACTGTGAGGGGTATTCGCCACTAATGATAATACTATCAAAAAGCTTCTGTACATGAAAAGTTATTTCACTGGCAGAGTTCCGTAAGAAAGCACCGGGTACATTATCAAAACCTGTGCCGAGTGATGAATTTTCCAGAGCGGTCTTCACGTCATCGAAGTGAATAGAGACACGGTTGAGTGTTGATTCCGAAAAATCACTGAAAGTTCCAGTGACTTTATTAAAAACGTCACCAAAATGACGGTTGAACGCACAAGCAATACTGTAGCTGTCGTTAAACACATTTTCTCCGAACTTCATCATTTTTGGTAGGTTGATTGATTGATTTATAGTTTTCAACAGTCTGTAGCAGTCGTTTGTACTAGAGTTTGTGGACGTGAAGCTTTCAGTGAATATAATAGTGTCAGTTTCAATTGAAGCTGCCGACTGTTGCTTAAGACGCTTTACTGTACCATAGGTAAACTTGGACCACTGCTTTGACAGTCGTCTTTCTGCAGTACGTAATTTGTTGAGAAGATGAACTGAATGCGAGGAATAAAAATACGGTAAGCTGGCGCGCTTTCTTCTGATAAAAGAGCTGTTCACATCAATGATGTTGTAAAAGTAATCAAGCCAGTGATTCCGATAGCCCGGGTTTGTTACATCAAGCTCTACCGAAAACAAAGAAGTGGATAACGCATGTGAGACATCAGCATAAACATTGGTTTGTAGACGTTTGTTGGTAACTGAGTTGGTTTTATTACAGGTTGTTTCACTTGTCGTAATAAAGTTTACCACAACACCTGTATGATCAGAAAAGTTAACAGGATGACTCGAAACTTCTGAATAAGAGAGGTTTGTAAAGACAAGGTCCAGAATATTTCCACTAATGTGAGTAGGGAAGTGAACAATTTGTTCTAGTCCAATATCAAGAATATGGTCAATTACTGAGGAAGAATCTGTGGTTGTTGCTGTCAATGTATCCCAGTTGGCATCAGGCATGTTAAAATCACCACAAATGATTATTTTAAAACCTTGTAGTCGTGAATTTACGATGGATTCAATTTGATTCATAAGAACATCACAATTAACTCGATAATGACTGTTAGTTGGAGGGTTGTAAACGCACATGACCGCTATACTCGAACTGGGTATCAGAATGACTGAAATAAAATCGACATTTGTCGGAAGAGTAATATAGTCACAGGTAGACTTGCATAAGATAAGAGTACCACCGTGTTCGCCAGTTTCTCTGATGGAGTAAGAGGCAATATTGTAATCCGTTTCCATGAAAATCATACTTGTTGGATCTTTGTCTAGCCAAGTTTCTGTGACACAGACAATGTCCGGGTTAAACAGATTTACTTCTTTTATGAAAGAAAGGCGTCTACTGAGTGTCAACAGGCTACGGGCATTTTGCAAGTAGAGTGTCAAGTTGTTTAGTCAGTTCTTGTCACATTTCGTTTCGATACCATCAATATATAGTTTCAAGTTTCGGATTTTTATTCTAGATTTGTCAACACCCGTCTGAATAACCTCATGTCGTTTGGCTAGGAGCTGTTTTTCTACAGCACGATCTGCAGGAGACAGCTCATTCAAAATAAGAATGGAGTCACTTTGGTAGAGTTTTCTTTCAATTGCTTTCGACCTGATGAGTCGCGCGTCCCAGATCGAGCTGAACGAGACTATAAGTGGCCTGTTACGAGTTTTATCGTATTTGCCAGCGCGGAAACAGTCTGCTACGTTCGCGTTTTTGATTTCTAGTTTTCCCAGAATATTCTCGATAGATGTCTTGTCGTCAAACTGTCTAGCATCTGTGAATTTCTTCTCGCTCTCTTGGATACCCACTATTTTCACACGATGTTTATAGGAGTCATCACTGTGATATGTTTTTTCAGATGAGTCCACCTCTTGTCCAGTGGCCTGTTTCGGCGCAGCATCGACTGATTTGAGGGTGGTATCAAGGTTTTCGAGTTTTTCGGCTAGTTTATTTACAGTGGCAGATAGAGAAACAATAACCGACCGGTCTTGACGTTGTTTGAAGCAAGGAGAACAGTACCAGCAGGTAGTCGTCAAGGTCTGTAGAAGCTGATATTGCCCATCAGAGACGTTTACGCATTCTGGGTGAAACCAGCAGTCACAGTCCTCGCACTGCAAACCAGCTGCCTGTACTGCAATTTCGCATGATCCACATTTCGCTCGAAGTCTCGTAGAGGTGGAACCAGTTCTGTTTCGTCCTCTGCCACTCATGATACCTTCTATCTTAAACTATTTAATAAGTTTATCACAACAATTAGGCTTCGAGCTAGAGTGACCGCCGCTAGAGTGACCGCCGCAGTCGCACCAACGTGTTGCGAGCTTGCCAACAGCAGGTAGGACTCTATACGAAATTTAGAGCCGGTTATCGCCTCAAAGAGGCGTAGCGCGCTCTGGCGACTTCAAACCGAGAATCAGCTGAATTAACCTTTGACCAATTCAAAAGATTTAGGAATTAAGCGACTGCCTTTTTTGGGACCTAAGGGACATATTTTTCATTTTGGGATCATTGAGCACGCACCAAAATTTTAACTGACCATGAAAACGAAGAAACGTTTACAATTTTCCCTTTGTTTTCATCCACTTGAAAAACATCAAGTATATCTCAAGCAGATGGTTTTTTAGCTGACCAATCTTTTAGCAGACTCAGAACAATTGTAAAGTCAGATAATTAACTTCAAACGCGGCATTGGCGATTAGCGACCGCTGCGCTTCAATTCAACCCGAATTTTATTGTGAGCGGCAATCTTTGTTTCGCCGCTAATTTAGACTGTTGTGATTTTGAAGTTGATGGTTTTGTTGACAAATCCTGAGATAATTGTCTTAATTGGGGAAATTTGGCCCCAGACTTGAGCGTCTTTTTGAGTCTTTCAATCTATCATCCATCACTGTGTTACGTTGGTCTGCTAAAAAACTCATGTTTCATTTTTTGTGCTAAAAGATTGGTCTGCTAAACGATCGGTCCCCGAGATATGTACTACTATGATAGACTGGGCCCCGGAATAATACACCTAGAGCTATTCTTGATATAAACAATATAATAATTACAGTTTTTAATCTGAAAATTTTATAACTTATTTCAGTTGAGATGTTTAAAATGAATTATTTGTACAGTTTAGTTTTCGAATTATTACTCGCGAAATACATGCGGTACCTGTCTATCATAGTAGTACCAAGAGAAATTTAATGCCTTTCAAACGATAAAATTGTTGATTTTGTCAAACAGTTCAATCGAACCGAGGACGAAACGAAATCAAATATGAGTTTGTGCAATTAACTGAGACAACACATACCACTCTTAACATTTCTATTTGAGATGAACATACAGCCCAGGAAATTATATCCGCTGCCATTTAGACTTTGGTAAATGCTAGAATTGGTCAGTAGTAATGAACCATAAGCTGCTATGAATATATAGGCTTGTGTGGATTTGATGTAAATTCTGTCTTTTTCTTGCACGTTACGTCTTTTCCATTGGATATTTTTTGACTAACAGTCCAAGCTGCTGCCTTTACATACATTATTCACTTCATTGCTTCCTTAGACGTGCAGTTTAATAGTATTTAACTGTAAGATTTCAGATCGATATAGCTCCTTCTTTTTTTCCTGTTCAATTCAGCTAAAGTGGACTGTCTGCTTGCTGTGTGTGTGTGTAATAGAAGAGAGTAGAGATGTCTTTGTTTCGGTGTGAAGAAGTTGCCCTGTATCAGCTCTTTCTGCAGAGTGAGGCCGCCTACAACTGTGTGGGGGAGGTGGGCGAGAGTGGACTGGTCCAGTTCAGAGATGTGAGTAATTGTCAATTCAGATTGCCCTACCGTTTAGTCAACATTTACTCATAGTTGTACAGTTGTTAATTTTTGCGCTAGAGGGGGGTTTGTTACGGAATTATGGTTCAGGTTGAAATGTGTTGATGTACACAGTTGACTGTTTCAATCATAGAAATTGACTAACATTTGAGAAACTGTACCTGTACGTATAAATCGGATCTTGTTTTTTATTTCCCCAATGGTACCAGTGTATGTTAATTTGGTACCGTATCACCAATCTCCCCTCTGGCAATGGAGAGCGGTTTTGGGAGTAGTTAACAAAATCTTTTACGTCTAATGTTTTTTTTTCGCGTGTGTGTGTGTGTGTATGTGCGTGATTATGACTGTGCGCCGTTGTGTGTTATGTTCAGATGAATCCAGAGGTGAATGCGTTCCAGAGGAAGTTTGTGAATGAGGTGCGCAGGTGTGAAGAGATGGAGAGGAAGCTGCGGTTTGTGGAGAAGGAGGTGAAGAAGGAGCAGCACATTAAAGTGGCCAACAGTGTGCCTGACAACAAACAAGTCCCACAGGCGAGGGAGATGAATGAACTGGACGTGAGTTGACCTGACCCACCAACACCCCCACTCACTCATACCATACATAGCATCCCTCTATTCGCTTCTCATGTAGGGGTTGGGGTCTCGGAAACTTTGGATAATTTTTGATTAATGGCATACTTTTTTTGAACAGTAAAATTGACATGAAATTTTAGTAATTAAATGCTGACTATTTTTTTTGCTTGGAAAATGCATTTGTTTGGAGCTCTTGAGGCGTGGTCATTGAATAAGAAGATCTCAGTTGGTTAGGGGATTCCACACAATTAAGTAGTGCAATGTACGTTATGGCATCTGAGGGTAGAGGAGACTACTTTACCCAGACGAATAGGGTCCCTTTCTGGGAAGTCTGTCGCTGTTGCGGCAGGGTTGGCACCATTTGCTCCAGTTGGAGACGAATCCACCACGAGTAGGCGACGCCTTACAAATGAGGTACGCGACGCCTTACAAACCTACGAATACCCAGCAGTCCTCGGACACAATCCACCAAAAATTGCCAAAGAAGAAACCGAATTACCAAGAACAACAAGAAGAACACTGGCACAGCTCAGATCCGGCTACTCAAAGTTCCTGAACTCATACATGAACAGAATTGACCCGACAGTAGGCGAACTTTGCCCGGACTGCCAGCAAACAAGCCACACAACTATACACCTGTTCGACTGCATCGCAAATCCTACGAACTTAACCCCAGCCGATCTCTGGAAGCAACCGAAGAAGACAGCAATATTCCTGAAACTCCCCACAACCCTGGACCCAACAACGAGCGACGAATAGATCTCAGAAGGGCAACAACAACAACTACTTTACCCAAAATAAGGTTTGATTCTTTTGTAGTAGAATGTGGATGTTGTGTTTTAGAACCAGTTGGAGAAGCTAGAGAATGAGTTGCGTGAGCTGTTGTCCAACCAGGAGCAGCTACAGAAGAACTTCCTGGAACTGACTGAGTTGAAGCAAGTGCTACTCAGGACCAGCACCTTCTTCCAGGAGGTAGCCATTAGACAGCCCTTAGACCCATTCTACTCAAAGCGACAGTATAATATCATGTCCCTTGTCTCAAATATGTCCTCGAAAAGCTAAGCTGTCTATTAGTATTTTATGTGTATGTTCGGTTGAGTCCCCTTTAATTTCAATTCAGTCCCATTTTATCTCAAGTGTTTCTATTTTTAACACCTTTCTCATCCAGCAGCTGCCTTGGCGTCCGGTGCCATTTTAGCTTGTGCCGCTTGTTAGTTTAGTCGAGTAGCTGGCAGTGATCGCTTTAGGCAGACTCCCATAGGTTCTCTTCTCCCGCCCAGCACGGGGGCAGACATGATGAGGAGGCCGAGGCACTGCTGGACCAGGAGAACGCGGCCGCCATGCAACAGAGTGGGGGCGCAGGCACACTGAAATTGGGGTGAGGAGAGTTTAGTAGTCGTGTGTGTGCTTCAAGCATGCGTGTTGTTTCAGGGCGGAGGTCAGTTCGGGCCCCCTGCAGGGTCTGAGACTGATTATCAAGTGGGTGGTCCCTCCGATGACCCAGGGGCCACCAAACTGGGGTAAGATAACGAACCAACCTGCGAGCTGAGCTAAAAACAAACACTAGTCTAGACTAGAATCCTGAACATACTATATTTCCCGCTGTATAGATCCGCCAGTTCAACGTTAATTATTCAGCGCTTCGCACTAGCTGGGACGATTGCACCGAACATGCGTTTATCATTCATGTGTCAATTAGTGCTTAGTCATCGCTTAGCTTAGCTACAAAAACACGACACATGTCATTGATAATTTGCGTTATGCAGAGGAGTCACATTTAAGTTCGCCTAGCTTCTAGGTGGTAGCTTAATCTGTGAATTATTATTTTAACTTGAACGCATGTTTTCTAACTGAGTTTGATTTGACTGAAGTAATGCAAAAGGTGTTTGGCTCCTAGCCTGATTATGGGATGTGTTTAACTCTTTCAATATGATGCTATTGGAATGTGTTTTGTTTTTATCTCTTGTTTTCTGTTTGAGTGTCCATGAAAGAAGTGAAGACATCAATATAGGTCGGGTGGCTTTTTAGTGTTGTTTTTTTTTTCGGAAAAAAGTCCTAAAATTTATGCACGCTCACTCCAATGATTCTTTCTATTCGTTTGGTAAAAGGGAAGCGAATTACGCTTTTCAATAACGAAAGTGCAAATGGCGCTAAATCCATGAATGGCTTTTAGACAAGAAAGTGGGTTTCAACGCATAGATTTCTCGGCGGAATAAAGAAAGTTCCTATTGACACAGATTGTCTAATTGGACTAGTCTTATGAAAAAAGTGTGGAAATTATTCTTGAATTTGGAAGAACTTTGACGTGATTTATATATTTTTCCACCGGATTTCGAAAAGTAAAAATTGTTCTTAAATTAACCTGATTTGGTGGCGTGTTGTCTGTTCATGTCTACTGCTGCCTATAGTGTTGTTTATGTATCTCTGTGTGTTTTGTCTGTTCTCTAGGGTCGTAGCAGGTGTGATCAAGCGTGAGCTGCTGGGTGCTTTTGAGCGGGTGCTGTGGAGAGTGTGCAGGGGCAATGTGTTCCTCAAACATGCTGACATCGAGGAGGCACTCATCGACCCATCCACAGTCAGTGCTCCTCTCTTCCTCTCTTCTTCTCATACTCACCCCCATCCACCCGCACCCCCATGCAACATACACTTACTTTCTCGACCACAAACATGTGTGCTCCTTTTCCAATTCATACTTATTCATCACCATTGGCTTTGATTTGCTGTTTTTCTTTTCTTTTAAATCTTATTTGGTGTAATGTGAATTATACTGGGTGGCTTTGTGTGTAGGGCGACTCTCTGCGCAAGTGTGTGTTCATCGTGTTCTTCCAAGGAGAACAGCTGGGAAATCGGGTGAAGAAGATATGCGAGGGGTTCCGGGCCACCCTTTACCCCTGTCCAGAGCAGACTGGGGAGAGGAGGGAGATGTTGCAGGGAGTGGAGGCACGCATTGCTGATCTGCAGGTAGTGCTGGACCAGACCCTCAGCCACCGGGCCAGAGTACTGGAGAGTGCGGCTGGACAGTTGCCAGTTTGGTTCATGAAAGTGAGGAAGATCAAGTCCATCTACCACACTCTCAACTTCTTCCAAGTGTCCCAGAAGTACCTGCAGGTCAGTCAGAACCCCTTACCACGCTCAACCACCGCTACCTACAACAAAACTAGATCACATCAATTTGATCATTTTTTAATGCGATGTCTCTTCGAAAAGGGCTCCTAAACGCTACCACCGCGCATTGAGAAGAATTTTTCCATTTGCTTTACTTTTGCGAAAGCAAGTCTTGCAATCGGCAACGAGACTTTTTTCCCGTAAACAAATTTTCAAATTGCTTTATTATTGAATCTGAACACCTCCAGGTTCCTTCGGACTTGGCCTAGAGGTAACGCCGTCGCCTTTGCAACCTGAGATCAGTGATGCGAACCCCCATCGGACCTTGTGTTTTTTTTCAGTATTTATGCAATTGAAATTTTTTTTCCGGTTAAAATTGATTTGTCGGATTGTTTATCTGCTCAAGTTTTGTCGGCTTAGTTGCCTCATCATGGATTTTTTTGTGCTGTAATCAGTTTTCATGGTAGTTGCAAGTGTTGTTCATTGTAGTTAAAGGGAGGACTTGAACTTTTTAAAAGTTTTTTAAAATCATTTTTTTTCGGCTCAACTCGTGTCTGCTAAAACAAGATTATCGGCTTTATTTCCGCTACGTAAGTTTTGTCCCGTTGCTATTTTAAAATTGAAATGATCTACTTGGCATCTTTTCCCAGAATTTCTACTTGATAAAAATAGTTATTATGAAAGTGTAGGGGATTGCGTTTTTTGATACGCCGTGGAAAAAGTGTTCCCGCGATTTTCAAAAAGAGGTATCAACGAAAAGACCGCCTACTCCCCTCTGTGACATCATACTTCCGTGGTCTATTTTTACTCTACCCCTCTGTCTTCAGCCTTCGCAGATGTCTTGGGAAGGACTTGACCCATAATTTTGATTTTTTCTTCTCAGAAACTACTCGCCCAAATCGGAGACTTCATCGACCTTTATCCTGTCAAATCTGGTATCAATGCTTAAATTGAAACAACAGGTCATCCAAAGCCTATTTTATAAATGACTACGACCAATTTTTGTTAGAAAAAGCTATTGTATTCAAAACAGTCAAATTTTGTTTACTCTTAGTTTGGCTTTTCTCGAAAACTACTGAACCGATTCGCAGGTTAATTGGTCAATTGAGAAGCCTGGTTTTGATAATGTTCTCTGCTGAAACTGCCTTTATATACGTTTGGCAGAAAGAGGTCTGGATTTCGGAAAGTGAAATTTTTTAACTTTTGGCCGTTTTAAGAAACTTTTTGACCAAGACTTTTCTTAAAAACTACCCTATCAAATCTAAGATGAAGGGGTAATTATGAAAAGGTCATTAGAAAGAACTGGTTGCGAGAATTTTTCTAAAGAAGCGGTGACTCCTTGATTTTTTGCAAGAGAAATTTTAAGTCCTTGGAAAACTCCCAATATCCCAATTTTAGAGTAAGAGAAACAGCTAAGATTTTGGGCTGTCCTATTTTTTGAATTTAACCAATCCATACCGAATCAATATAACAAATTTAGAAAGTATCAAACAAGTTCCTCCATTTCCATATGTTATCGAGACATCCGAAAATTTTGGTTCATCTAGTTTTTTTTCAACATTTTTCACTTTTTTCCGACTGCTTATGATTTTTTATGTTTGTATTATATCGCAAGTGGTGCGAAGCTCCGCTCGGTCTGTTTAACTTTTTTGCATGCGATTGTGCCCAAGGGCGGGATATTGACTTGGTCACTGTGTCCTGCCAATCTCTGATTATACTAGCAAACTTGATATTGTAGTGTGTTAGTACGAACCTTTTTTTCCCAACCGATGTCGCAAATAAAAGTGCTCACTTATTTGGCGGAACTTTTGCTATAAACACGATCTGCAGCATTGGAAATTTCATAGCAACTGTTCTCTGCTTTTTGTGGCCATTTTTTTGGATTTATTGAGTGTGACTAATTTTAACAATTTGTGGCTTATTTCTAATTTTTTTTTTGCATTTTATAGAGCTGCTTTTTGTCGTGTTCTCACTAGTCTTTGCGAACCGCAGCTTTGACTTGTATCAAACTTATTACACTTGCGAAGCCAGTGTAATAGTACGAACCTTCTTTTTTCCAACCTAAGTGCCACTTTTGGGGCACCTTTACAGCTTTTTTAAAGCATATGATTTGACATCCGAATAGTAATAAGTTAACACAGTTGATGCATAACAACATAACAATGATGAAAACTCGATTTCAGTAATTTTCTAACTCAATATATCGCAATTATTTGAAATGCATAATTTATACATGAGGTGGTTTTATGCTTTGCGATTTTTAACATGCAAAGTTACTGTGGATGCCTTCAGTTTGTTATATTCCAAATAATTACTTGCAAAATTGTGTCGATTTGTCTTTGGTGTCACTTTTGCTCAATTGTATTGGCAATTTATTAGCATATGTAGCTGCTTTCTTCGTGATTAGGGTTTGTAGGTTGTTAAGCTTGCGTGGCTGAGTGGATATTGGTTGCAGTAGGTCGCAGATTCGAACGCTACACGTAGTCGAGTTTTTGCCAATTCGAGGTGTATTTCTACTTTTTTTTCCACTTGATAGATCTACTATTTGGTCGTGTTCTAGGTGGGGTGAGGTAACAATGCCGTGATTTTAAAAAGCAGCCTCTCGTTTTCTGTTATCAGTCTTTTTGCCGTTTTTTTTTGCTAGTGAAGTCAAGTGCAGCTTTGTCTCTAGGTAGGATGCAAGTGAACAAGAAATTACGTTCAGAAAATTGAAACAGTTTTAGGGAGTTGAATAGTTAGTTAAACAGCGTTAAATTAGAGTTGGCGCGAGCAACTCTTGTGTTACTTAAGTCTCTGTCTGTTTATTTTTGTTGGTTTAGTTCCCGCAGCACGAACTCTTTTTGAATGTTCAGCCTTCTTCTAGGTTCCTGAAAGCCATTTCTAAAGCTTCATTGTTGGAGCTAAATAAGTTGAATGATTTTTGCAGATTTTGTTTAATTTTTTGAATAACAACTCTTCAAATTAATAAATATACATTTTTTGATTGCGATTAGCCAGCGTTATCAATCCGGAATACGGACTTTTTTCGGGCTAACTAGTTTAGCAAAATCATTTGAATCATTTTTTTTCAATCAAAAGTCAGGCAGCTGCGTTATCTCTTCCCCACCATGCGCGAATTAATGTGGGGAAGAGCTAACGCAGCTGCCTATGAAGACAAAAGTCAATGGTTCGAATCTAATCAAGATCTGTTTTTTCTTTAGCAAGTGGAAAATTATCCGCGTGTCAAAATGTCTTTGTCGGACTTCTGTTTGTCTGCTTTTTTGTCGGCTTAGCTTAGGCAGCACAAAATTTGCCTAAAAATGGGGCATTTAAATTCGAAAAAAAATCATTGTATGCCGGTTTTGGGCATGTAATTGAGTTCCAATAAGTTCTGCCTTTTTTTTAAAGAGTCAATGAACGTAGTGAAGACTCTCATATAGGTCTTGCTGATTTTTTTGTTTTCTATTCTCAGGAAAAAGTCTCAAAATTTGTTCACGCTTAGTTTTGATTTTTCGCGTTTTGACTTTTCGCGGTTTGCATCTCTGTGTTAAAAGGAAGGCAAACTTCACTATCGAACAGCACTTTTTCGCTAAGTGTTAAGTAGATCCGAGTTCTATTAAATTTTCCTCGCCATCTTATTGAAAACATCCGTTTCGTCAACATAAATACTGTGAGGAACTAATAAAGTGTGAACACGGTAAAGACATTATCTTGGTCACCTGTTTTTCGTTTGACGAAAAGAGATTGAAAACGTTCTACCTCATTTTTCTATTTCGAAGGTTAGTTTATTAAGAGTCATGAACGTAGTGAGTGTTCTTATATAGGTTTTGCTAATTTTTTTGTGTTGTTGTTGTTGTTGTATTTTTGTTCAAGCTCAATTTTGATTTTTCGCGGTCTGACTTGTGATTTCTTTTAAAGTTCAGTGCATTTCTATTGTTAAAAGGAATGCAAACTCCACTATCGATCAGCGAAATTGTAAAGGTCACGAAAAGCGTGATCAACTTCTAATTTTGAAAATGGAAATTAATTATCAGGTTTCCCAGCGAAATAAAAGTCGGGACCTGTTTTTTTTTTCGTCGAAAATGAAAATTTTCGAATATTTTAGACTTTCGTGTCTGCCAATTTTCGTCGGCATGAGTCCCCCAGAAAGGCTGTTTCTTTTTAGCATTTTGAAAGTTCTTTGTAATTTGGTGCATTTTAGTTTGTTTCAGGTATCTGTTGTCCACTTTTTTTTTGCAATTTTCATAACTTTTTTTTGACAAAAAAACGATTTTTTTAAAGGTTTTTTCAATTTTTGATTTGTCTTTTCATTTACTGGTTATCATAGTCGTACATTTTGTATCACCGGTGATGCGAAGCTCGCCTTTGTCTCTGTGTTTAAATTTTTTTCGTTTTTTGCTCCCTTCCTTAGTGTGCATTGAATTATTACTTACGCGATGTTTGCTTGCGAGTAGCAAGCGTTATTATTTCGGAAGATAGACTTCTTCTTGTAAACAATTTGTGCATGAAATCACTGAAGCATTTTTTTTTAATCTGCGTTTTCTTCAACCAACCCATATTTTGAGCAAGTTTGCGTTTCCAATTCTCGTTCTATATTTGTTTTTTGATGTTGGTTTTAAGTTTACCAGCTCCGTTTCGATATAATTTCGTTTTTGTTTTCGTGTTTTGTTTACTCAGCTTTAAGGTTTTTCCTTTCGTCTTAGTGGCATCATTTTGTATCGTTGGAGGAGTGAGACAAGTTTCATATGCGTGTGAGTCTTTTGAGGAGGTAAGTTCAGACTCTCAAATAGGTCGTGATGGTTTTAATTATCAGGAAGTCTTCAAGTTGGCTCAAATTTACTTTCTGCGGTTTGATTGGTGATTTTTTTTCAAGTTCATTTCCTATATTAGAAGCAAAGCATACTCCGCTATCAAACAGCGAAAGCGTTAAGGTGTCGAAAAACAAGATCGAATTCTACTTTCGAAAGTGGAATTTAATTTTCAAATTTCCCAGCGAAATAAAAAATTGTACTAATCCAGTTTTCTCAAATTGAATTGGTTTTTATCAAAAAAGTATCAAACATCAATTTTTCTTGAAATGCAAAGATTTTCACGGTCATCTGTTTTTTATTTTTTAAGGTAATCTAAATGCTAGTTTTGTCATGCTATGTTTGCTGTATCGCAAGTGATGCGAAGCTCTGCTTCGCCTCTGTGTTGAAATTGATCCGGTTTTCGAGTAGAAATCTGTAGTAGACATTGAGTGATTTGTTGAGTGATGTGTGTGTGTGTGTGCAGGTGCAGTGCTGGATCCCCGTCACTGACATCCCAAAGATTCAGGCGGCACTGGATAAGGGAACTTCGGACGCCGGATCTAGCGTGCCCAGTGTGTTGACCCAGATCCCCACCAAGGAGCAGCCGCCGACTTTCAACAGGACTAACAAGTTCACTGAGGGGTTCCAGACCATCATAGACGCATACGGAGTGGCCTCATACCGGGAAATCAATCCCAGTAAGTCTGCATTGATTATGCAATAAGTAGCCAGATGGATGAAAGCATATTTCTGTTGCCGAATGGGAGCAAATAGTGTGTACATTGTATTGTGGATATAGGATTTATGTGTGCGTTTAGTGCCATTCACGGTGATCTCGTTCCCCTTCCTGTTCGCCGTGATGTTCGGAGACTGTGGCCATGGACTCATCATGGCGCTCTTTGCCGCTCTCCTCATCTGGAAGGAGAAGCAGATCATCGCGGCCAAGAGCAAAAACGAGGTACACTCTCATAAACAGACCAGACAAGAGCACACTTTTGTCCTTATTCATGCTTCAGCAATAAAAGGACACATGCTTCATTCGTAACTGATCAGTGGGAACAAAATAACTAGAAAACAAGACAGCAGAAATAGTAGAGTCACTTGTGATAGCATATGTGTGATGTGAGAGTGTAATGTTGTTGTGCTGTGTTAGATCTTCTCCATGTTCTTCGGAGGTCGCTACGTCATCTTCCTTATGGGCGTGTTCTCCATCTACACTGGATTCCTCTACAACGACATCTTCTCCAAGTCCATGAACATCTTTGGCAGCCAGTGGGGCATCCCTGCCCACGTGGCCGAACAGCTGTCCACCAATAGTGACCGGGAGAGTCTAGTGCAGCTCATGGTCAACGACTCCTTCGGCTCCAACTCCCCCTACCCATTCGGAATAGACCCGGTTAGTGCCACTTACATAAAACATCGTACATTATACGCCTCCCCCCATCACCATACGCACAATACAATCAATACACTCAATGATGTGACATGTGGTGACATAATTCTTGTTTTTGGCAGCTAGTACTATTACAAAAGTAGCAGTGTTTTACTTGCACAGCTGTGATCTTATGCAAATGTGAGGAATGAACTATCGTGGTGTGACTGTGTTGTGTGTAGATCTGGCAGGTGTCGGACAACAAGCTGGACTTCCTGAACTCGTTCAAGATGAAGCTGAGTGTGATATTGGGAGTGATGCACATGCTGTTCGGCGTCTGTCTCTCCCTCCTCAACCACACGTACTTCAACAAGCCACTCAACGTCATCGGCGAATTCATACCACAGGTGAACACTTAAACACCCCCCCCCCATCCCATCCCAAACACACACACACGCTTCCTCTCTTTGTCTATCAATCATTCATGTCCATCTATTAAATTAATGTATTTTTATGGTACGAGGGAGATTACGATAAATGGCAAGCCTTGAGAGAAATAGCTTTTGACGCGGTCTGAGATTTTATTGAAATTGAACCGCTTAAAGACCGTTCAGATCACCTTTTTGGGGTGTGTTGTGAAAATACGCGGTCACAGTCTATTCGGGATTTGTGGAATTTGTGTGGTTAGTTTTGCCTTGGATGTCGCTGTATGTGTGTGTGCGTGTGTGTGTTGTGTGTAGGTGTTGTTCCTGGGAGGTCTGTTCGGGTACCTGGTGTTCATGATCTTCTTCAAGTGGTTCGCCTTCGACTACAGCAACTCTGGAGTGGCGCCCCAGTTGCTCATCACATTCACCAACATGTTCATGCTGGGAAAGCCGGACAACTATCTGTTCAGTGGACAGTACACAGTGCAGGTCATACTGCTGCTGGTGGGGCTGCTCTGTGTGCCCTGGATGCTCTTCTTCAAACCCATCATGCTCTACATACAGCACAAGAACCCAGCCGCAGTCAGTCTCTCCCTATCTCTCATTTTCTCTATGAGTAAATCACTATGTGTAAACCACTCTGTAACACTCCAGAATGATCAAAAATGGTCCAATCCCTATTCTGTGTCTTCGAATTGAGTGGTGTTGAGTTTAATCAACGCTTCAATCAACCCTGCCTCTGTTTTAAACTGCTTGAAACAAAAGAAAAAAAAAGGTTCAAAACAGAATAAAAACATGTTAAAAAATTAAATAAGAAATATTACGAAAATTTTCCAGTTTTGCAAAAGTTTGCCGCAATTTGTACTTCCCATTTATTTGCTCTTGCGTTGAGCTACGGGTTTGTGCGAAACCAACTACATGTACGAAGCTCAGGACTTTTTGTATTAACAATTAAATTGTTGAGTAGATTGTTTAACGGTAGCTTTTTTCATGTTTTTCTGATAAGAAAGTAGCAGAAAATGGGTTTTATACAAAAAGATTAAAAACGTTTTATTGTCTAATTGGATACAAAACCTTTTAAACAGCCACCCTGCAAGCAACTGATATAAAATGTAGCTGAAGTGGCATGCGGCTGCCTGCCTCTGCAAAACATCCGGTCGGTCCTCGTCAGCAATGATATGCACTGTTAAAATAAAACATGACATGAAGCAGTTGGAAGGAGCCGCTCATTTTCACGCCTTTTTCTTGTCTTCTAAACGTGGATTAGCTAGGCCCAATTTATAGCTAGACGATTCTATTTGGTGCCATCCTATTGGCCAATTCACTTCCAGTTTCCACATTCGGCCTCACTTTCTCTTCTCTTTTGCAGGTGTACGCTTTCCAGGTTTGTGCGCTAGAGTCGAATGTGTAAAACGCACGCCTATTTTAGTTTAGACGCAATGCACTACGAGCAGTTAGTGAAGGAACTCACACCCCATTCACCTGACAGAAGCAATCATCTAGCTGTTAGAAATGCATCCATGCATGCAGCTATAAACAAGAATGTTTTGTTCAATTTTAACCTCAATGAAGATTTATTTTAATTTTTGGGCTGAGATGGAGGCGTTCAACAGTGCCGAAAAAGGCGGGAAAATTTCAGAATAATTTACACGCATTTTCTAAAGAGGGGGAAATTACTGGCGCTAATTATCAAAGAACATCACTCCAATTTTGGCGACAATATGTCTGCAACTGCGAAGTAAAAAATTATTTTGGCGCCAAACGTGTAAGCTGCAAATTTTCTCGCTCAAGTCTTAAAATTTGACTCAAGATTGTAAACGATCGCTGTTTAATTTTTGATTGCCGCACTTAATATGTTGAAATTTGTTAAAATTTTCGGCACTGTTGAACAAACTTTTCATTTTCGGCACTGTTGTACTGCCCCGTTGAGATGCATGAACAAATTTGCCTGTATTTTTGTTCCTCGTTTGATTTGATGCGCTACCGAGTTTGAAATTGTGGAAAACCTAGTAAACGGCCGAGCTGTAAAATAGGAATGAATTTCCTAAGTGCCTTCAAGTAGCAAATTTCTCACTGAAAGAAAGACTGCTATGTGGCTGTGTGTTTGAAATAGAAGGTGCTTTCCGGTTAACAGTCAATTTAGCAATATATCCCCCCTCCCCCTCCCCATATGTGTTCATAGCACGCAATCGATTGACCGGCTGAGAAAAATTTTTGAAAACAAATTATCTTAGGACTGTACGCAATAGGCCTTTTTTCATTTAAGACAGAAAAAAGGCGGCTTTATATGCATCAGTTTTAGTATTTTTAAAACTCTTGAATGTGTGATTTGAGTTTTGATATTGTGAAAATAGGTGAAAGTACCTAATGAGCTACCCCCCCCCCCCACCCCCCGCGCGGGAATGGAAAGAGGTTGCTGAATTGATCGTTCATTAACTTTCTTCCAACAGTCTGTTGGCTGTGTTTTTTTTATTAGCGAGTGATTGATTCTATTTAAGAAAGAAAAAAGCAGCCGCAGCCAATTGGCCAGCGTGAGTCTATTTTCCCTTCCCTATCCCCTATTTCTCGGGGTGGGAGAGAGAACATATCGTTCTATTTTTCTGGTGTCATTTTACTAATAAAAATGAAGAGTCAATTTCAAGCAAAGAACAAATACATCTTGTTAATCAATTCTGCGTGAATCATCTTATTCAAATGAATCAACAATTTTCATCCTCTTGTATTTTGGAATCACGAGCAAAACAACGACCAGATTTTGTTCAGGTTTTCTCCAAACTGTATGATCGAGGTATAAAAATAGTTTCTCCAAACTTTGATCGAGGTATAATAGTAGTTTCTTCAAACTGTATCCTCGAGGTATAACAATATTTCTCCAAACTGTATGATCGGGGTGTAATTATAGTTTTTCCAAACTGTGTGATCGACGTATAATACTAGTTTCTCCAAACTGTATGATCGAGGTATAATAATAGTTTCTACAAGCTATAATCGAGATGTAATAATAGTCTCTCTAAACTATGATCGAGGTATAATAATAGTTTCTCCAAACTGTATGATCGAAGTATATTTATAGTTTCTCCAAACTTCGATCGAGGTATGCTAGTAGTTTCTCCAAACTGTATGATGGAGGTCTCATAGTAGATTCTCCAAACTATTATCGAGGTATAATAATTGTTTTTCCAAACTGTGTGATCGAGGTATAATAATAGTTTCTCCAAACTGTATGATCGAGGTTTAATAATAGTTTCTCCAAACTTTGATCGAGATATAATAGTAGTTTCTCCAAACTGTCTGATCGAGGTATAATAATAGTTTCTCCAAACTGTATGATCGAGGTATAATAATAGTTTCTCCAAACTGTATGATCGAGGTATAATAAAAGTTTCTTCAAACTTTGATCGAGGTATAATAATAGTTTCTCAGAGCTATGATCGAGGTTTAATAGTAGTCTCTCCAAATTATGATGGAGGTATAGTAATAGTTTCTCCAAATTGTATGATCGAGGTTTAATAATAGTTTCTCCAAACTTTGATCGAGCTATAATAGTAGTTTCTGCAAACTGTCTGATCGAGGTATATAAATAGTTTTCCAAACTGTTTGATCGAGGTATAATAATAGTTTCTCAAATGAATGATCGAGATATAATAGTTTCTCCAAACTGTATGATCGAGGTATAATAATAGTTTTTCCAAACTGTATGATCGAGGTAAAATAATAGTTTTTCCAAACTGTGTGATCGACGTATAATACTAGTTTCTCCAAACTGTATGATCGAGGTATAATAATAGTTTCTACAAGCTATGATCGAGGTATAATAACAGTCTCTCCAAACTATGATCGAGGTATAATAATAGTTTCTCGAAACTTTATGATCGAAGTATATTTATAGTTTCTCCAAACTTCGATCGAGGTATACTAGTAGTTTCTCCAAACTGTATGATCGAGTTCTAATAAGATTCTCCAAAATATTATCGAGGTATAATAATAGTTTTTCCAAACTGTGTGATCGAGGTATAATAATAGTTTCTCCAAACTGTATGATCGAGGTTTAATGATAGTTTCTTCAAACTTTGATCGAGATATAATAGTAGTTTCTCCAAACTGTCTGATCGAGGTATAATAATAGTTTCTCCAAACTGTATGATCGAGGTATAATAATAGTTTCTCCAAACTGTATGATCGAGGTAAAATATTAGTTTCTTCAAACTTTGATCGAGGTATAATAATAGTTTCTCAGAGCTATGATCGAGGTATAATAGTAGTCTCTCCAAACTATGATCGAGGTAGAAGAGTAGTTTCTCCAAATTGTATGATCGAGGTTTAATAATAGTTTCTCCAAACTTTGATCGAGATATAATAGTAGTTTCTGCAAACTGTCTGATCGAGCTTTATAAATAGTTTCTCCAAACTCTTTGATCGAGGTATAATAAAAGTTTCTCAAATGAATGATCGAGGTATAATAGTTTCTCCAAACTGTATGATCGAGGTATAATAATAGTTTTCCCAAACTGTATGATCGAGGTATAATAATAGTTTTTCCAAACTGTGTGATCGAGGTATAATAATAGTTTCTCCAAACTGTATGATCGAGGTTTAATAATACTTTCTCCAAACTGTTTGATCGAGGTATAATAATAGTTTCTCAAATGAATGATCGAGGTATAATAGTTTCTCCGAACTGTATGATCGAGGTATAATAATAGTTTTTCCAAACTGTATGATCGAGGTGTATTAATAGTCTCTCCAAACTATGATCGAGATATAAAAATAGTTTCTCCAAACTGTATGATCGAGTCATAATAATAGTTTCTCCAAACTTTGATCGAGGTATAATAATAGTTTCTCCAAACTGTATGATCGAGGTATATTAATAGTTTCTCCAAACTGAATGATCGAGGTATTATAATACTTTCTCCAAACTGTATGATCGAGGTATAGTAATAGTTTCTCTGAACTGTACGAGCTTTTTCAAACTGTTCAAAATCGTTTTAGAGTACCTGGCGCGGATCGAATTGAAAGGAATTCCTCGGTCACCTTGTCTTACATTTGCGATTTTATATTAATTAACTTCTATATCTTGCGTTTTAAGGTGAAGTGACGTGCTGCCATGCCCAAATTCTCAAAAAAAATTTTTGAAGTGCCATTCTGCAAAGCTTTATTGAATACTATGATTTCACTTTTCCCACTTCCTTTGCGCATATTTTTGTTCAGTTTGAGTATTTGTGTACTGTCCGAACTCAATTGCATGTGTTTTATCCGCTTTAGTGAAGCACAATGATTGGAAATCGGTATTTTCTATTAGAGCGTGTGTTAGTTACCTAGGACAATCGGGTATATGCCGCAGTTGCGAATGCATTCTCGCATTCTAGAAGTCTGTTTCTGCTATCGGCTAACTCTTTTTTTAAAAAGTGTACCTACTTATTGTTTTTTCTCAAGTTTGAAGGCTTTTTATTGCATTTGTGTTTACGAAATGCAGCGTGAACTCTTTAGATACTCAATTTTCTCATTGACGCAGCCTTCTTACGTTGATTTTTTTGCCGCACAAGTTTTCCGTTTTTTGCTTTCCATTCATTTTTAAATTC